CGGTCGAGCCGTTTCGGAGGAGTTTAACCACAAACACCGCGACACTAGAATTTTATATATTAGATAACATTCATACCTATAAGAAAATACTCTCCAAATTAAAAGGAATGTGAATTTTAAAATTGAGGCATGTTTATGAACATACCAATACACATACGAGCTTATACACGTTTTAATTAACTTTTTACGAAAGCGTCAAGCCCAGAATTTTGTACCAATTAAGGTGGTTGGAACGTGTTTAGATTGTCCGTTGCGAATTGCTAATCACCAAAACCGAACAATGAGTTCACCTCACGGGCCCAGAGTTCGATGTTCGGCTGAAGGTCATTAGGAAAGCGTCTCAGACGGACCTTTTCCGCGTGACCCGCAAACAAATTTGCTTGTACCAGATGTAAGCGATGTGATTAAAAAATCATACTTCATGGTATTAAATTAAATGTCCCGCTGACTACGCATGCTGATACGTGGACCTGTATTAATAATCTAATTTAAGTTTTTTATTCGATTAAGAGCTTTTAGTTGAATGCCACGTAATTTACGTGCTAGATTGACTAGTTACAGTACTTGCGTAAACCAATATAAAAGTGGAAAATATTTATTTAATTAACACTTTATTAATAATCTAACAAATTTAATATTTACAATGTTTACATTAAAACTATAGCCCAAAGGCATTACACCATATATACAAACGAAAACTATGTACATACTAATAAATTGCTTGTTGAGGTGTGTAAGGGCATGTGTAATGTGTTGGTATGAATAAGTGTGTTACGTTCTTAGGTCATCTAAAAATCTATTCGACTTACTTATTTCCTTTAAAAGCAGGCGTTGGAAGATAATATAGAACCAGTAAAAGAAACATTGCATATTATGTATTTTATTACGCTTAATAAACAAAACTATTAAATATAAGACTTTTTAAATTACTTTTAAAGCTATTATAGAGAAATTCGCATCATCATAACTTAATTATTTAATTTTCCTTTGACAACAAAAAATCACTCAATGTCAGGTTTTAGAAGTACTTTGGACAAATTCATATTTTTATGGGCCTTTTGTGTGTTTTTTCTCACATTTAGAGGCATCTGAAGGAGCACGACTTGAAACGGTTAGATCTTATCTCTATTCGAGCCCTTACATTGAGACATTTCAACACGTCCGCTTTTAGTTTTACCGAAATTGTTATTTTTCGCTGTCAATCATCGTACCACGTACCCTTAGCACACATTAAACTTCGATAGTTCCATCAAGTATTCGTATTGAATATTATGAATACGTACTTGTTTAAATAAAACTTCATTGACGGATACAAATTATATACAATACCTAGACTGGTCGAGGAACCTCCCTTTAGGTTTAAGGAACATTACATGGTGTACTATTCCACATATATCATACAGCTAACGTATTAATATAAAAATATTGAATACTAAAATGTATTGATGCACAGACGGGATTTGAACGCGCTACCTTAGGACCTCATTAGACCTTTATTAAGGGTTGCACGCTAGGGCAACTAGGCTAACAACTCATTTAATGGATACGATATTTAATATTTAAGATTATTTTTCCGACCCAAATATCGACCAATAGAATTGCACCATTCGACGTAGTGGTACACCTAATGGTATTATACTGATAATTTTTTGAAAATTTTTTGGTAGTTCTTCAAGAAAAGTATTAAGTAGTGTTTTATTCATTATGAAATTCTTATTTTTAACTGTAATTTCGTCTCATGGAATTCTATTGGCCGACATTTGGGTCGGAAAAATAATCCCGAATACCAACGGATTATCTGGCATTTCCCTCAAGTCTGCAAACAAATAAAGTCGTCAAGTTTTTCAGTGTTTTTCAGCGCTTGGCTGTGATTTTTAACCTGAAAAACTTGACTCCTTCATTTGTTTGCAACGAACCTATCGGGAAATACCCGATAATTTTGAAGCTCTTGTGGTATTATAAGTGAATATTTCTAGTACTAGGACGGAGCTATTCATATTTCATACATTAATTATTCCGTATTTCTGTATGAGGAACGCCTTCTGAGCGGTTTATTTTTTAAATTTATTTTCTATTACGTTCCAATTCAATTGTACTTATTGAACGTATTTAACATCGTGAGACTGCTACGTCCACATAATTATTTGATACTAATTAATAAGAGTAAGTTGCAATATTCATATTAATGCCATCTATCGCCAAAAAATATTTGTCATATACCGCCGCTATCGTATTAGGTATTGCTACGAAATTATTATTTTAGAAAGTAACAATTTTTGTTTAAACTTGGTATGTATAAGTTCCATGCTGTTGACAAAAAAATTTTCTAACCTAAAATAAAATAAAGCATAATTGTTTGGTCATTCCCAAAAATATTAATAGCAACCCATCCTAAATAATATTACAAAATGCCAGACATGAACAGAATGAGATATCAAATCTTTCCCACGACAGCCGACAGACGCCTCAGATCGTGTTTTTGCAGCATCACAGTGTATTGTCTGTCACCTGACACGTTGTTGATATAAAATGCCAATAAACGTCACTTTTTTATGACACACGTACGTTCAGGTCACGCGCATGATTGTATCGCCGCCACCCTGGCTGGTACTGTCTTGTATCTCTAACAAACATATCTCACTCACACTGCGCTAATCTCTCATCGACTATTAACGCTCGTTGAAAAGATTTCCAACAATTGGCTCATTAGCTCCACAAAAGTCGTTAAATTGTCGACATTTAACGTCACGTCGCGTAGGTTGAGGAGCGGCACGAATTTTATTTTAAATAGGATAAAAGGGTAGACGATTCTGAGTGGTGTAGGTATAAAACGCTTCAAGGTCTATCGGCCTATATAGACTCTAAAACGACGCACCAAGAATACAAATAAATATAACATTTTGCGCATTATGGCATATGAAGATAAGTTTGAGATACTCTCTTGGCAAGTAGGGAGAGAATGGGGGGAGGAAATATAGGTGCGCGCGCACACTCTGAAGTTAGCATAGTCAATATTTTAAAATAAAAAATGTCCATTTCTTTAATTATGTAGAAATATTTTTATTGTGATATTTAAATAAACTTTTAGATAAAATTAAAAAAAAAATTATCTTGTAACGCCAAAGATGTATAACTTCTAATGCGTGTCCATAAGAATATACACATGTTTTTTTAAGATGGAGCTTCGGACCAACACTGATATATAGTTTAAGTAATACTAGCAACTTTGTGAAGATGAACTTTCAGTCAACCAATACTTTTTGGGTAATACTTATACTGAAAAGTCAAATTTGCAAAAGTTCAATGTTGCTTAGGTATTTTAGTTTTATCACTTTGCTTTCAAGTTTCAACGAAACGGAGAAACATGCTCTTTAGAATAAGCTTATCTATATGAGCTTAATTATGAATACAGTAGTATATCATGACAGTACAGTATCATATCTGCTGAAGTAAATCACTACTGCTACTCTACTCTACTACTACTCCGCCGGCTCTGCAACCCAAAAAGTGTCTTGGCCTCCGAAACGTGAAACTTTCACGCACTCCCTGTTCTGTGCCACCTCCTTGCAATTGCTGGCCTTCAGCTGCAGCAGATCCTGTTCCACTCTGTCCAGCCAGCGGTACCTAGTCTGACCTACTCCGTCCACTAGGCCGGCTTATGTAAGCTTCCTTCACCGACCGAGCTTGGCCCATGCACTCAAGGTACCCAACGTAGTTGATTTGCGTGTTGTTTCCACAAGAATGTATTTGCGTGCTTCTATTTCACCATGTCTACTGCTGATAGACGACAAATCTATGCTTTTTTTATTATTATACGTATAGTTAATTAATTAAAGATGTCATGTGGAACATGGTGTAATGGTTGCAGCTCCAGAAACATTTTGTAAAACAAAAAGAGTGGCGGACAGTTTATTGCCAGTTCTTCTCTTCCGTTCTACGCCCTTGTTTTGAGAATTGCTAGTAAATGTAAAAAAATAATTTAATACGTATTTCTTTTTTGACATATTTTGTTCATACATGAACATTGTGTATACCTTAAATTAATAAATGATTTTGAATTTGATGGGCCATGAATTCGGCTATAATATCGGGCTACCAATTTGTATATCTCGGAATGATAATGAACAAATTCATTATTACTAACTCTCTGACAACCAATGTTTTATTATTGCTTATATACGATAAGCCAGTACGAGTAGCTTCTAGTCCACCACAAAAACGAGCACAAATCCGTTTCATTAGTACAACAATAGTCATTAAATCATCAACATTGTCCTCTTTACATAAGCGTCACGTACACAAGAGCGTTAACAACGTGTGGAGGATCAGGGAAGCGGAACAAATTCTAACATCCTAAGGCCTTTCTGAAAAAAGCCAGCGGTCCGTAATCATTATCTTTCTTCGATCACCGATCGCTATTATCTTATTTAAAAGCATCTTAGATTTTTTCTTTCACCCGTCAACGTTTGGATTCAATCCAAACAATGGCCGAGTTAAGAAAGATGTTTAAGTATTTAGTTACGCTATTTTTTCACTATTTTTCAATTTAAACAGATTCGTGTTTGTAGGGCCGGAAGGTGTCGATACGCCGTGTTAGGATTGCCAAGTATTGCTTATGAATTCAACAATGCGCATTACGGGATAAAGCTTTTGAGTACGGCTGGATAGGATTTTCGTATTTTGTAACAAATTTCAAAGACATGTAATTTATATCGATAATGACTTCATTGCTAAGATTGTACATTTATTTTTGTAAGATCTTCAATTTGAATTGTTTATGTATTTATTTTATTATTATATATCAATTTATATTTAAAATAACAGTAAATTATGCTTTGTAAAAAAATAACAAAAAACCAAACCGAAGCCAAATTAAAGCTCAACAAATTACTGAAAGCTCTACATTAGATGAAGAAAAAATCCATCACATATCGTATCAATAAAGTAATAAAGCGAACGTGAGAATCCGATGATGAACAGCGCACTCTTCAGTTTAAATATTAATTGCTAAGGGCGTCGTGGTCACACACGAAGCATGAAATCGCAGCCTCGGGAGCGGACCCACCTGGCAAGCGATTTGTTGTCTTCCATCCTCCATGCTCGTAAATTTCCATCGTGTGCGATGCTACAAACACAATGCCCTTCACACCCGATACATAAAGGGATCAGTAAATACTGGACATAATGCGGCCGCATTCCAGATTTGTAATATGCGTGGATAATTTGTTGTAATAAATTCGGATTGGAATGGTCAATTGCAATTGGTTTTATTCGTGATGAAGAAATATCAATAATTTTATGTAATCTGTGAAGGCTGATTGCTGATGTGTGTATTTATAGGAATTCTTATATATAACTGAATGTATGTTAGATTTGACTTTAGAATATGAACAGATTTCCAACGACAATCTTCCTCTAATCGAACATTAAAATTGGCAACGGAGTTTGGATATAAGCATTCAAATACATAAAGTCTAATTGACTGTACGACTTAAGTATATAACTACATAAACCAATGATTATATACGGAATAAAACAACTTTTTCTTGACGGTTGTCTATATTGCCACCAACATTGAGCAAAGTAATTACCTACTTGTCAACCATTCACAAGGCTTTAAGAATAAACCCGTTTGTTTAGTATCGCTTTGTATTGTTTATTGTCCAAGACCAGTGTCTTCGTAATTAAAAGTTTAAGGATACAGCCACCGTTGTACTGGCAGGTATTATTTTCGTAGGTATAAAATTGGAATATGTAAAATTATTTTTTATTTACGCAAGCGAATACGATAATTAATCGTATTAAAATTTGTAATTTCTTTTTATTTATTATCACTTCGTTGCATACAGAAATACAGTTGACATAATTAATAGAAAAGGAGGGCAACTGGCGGCCTTATCGCTTTCGAGCGATCTCTTCCAGGCAACCAATGTGAGGAAATTAAAAAAAAAATAAACAAGGATTGCAAAAATACATATACGGCGTATATTTCCACTAATAATTAATTTATAATACAATAAGTACAAGGAACCAAAAAGCCTAGGCAACTAAGTTAAATAGTTACTAAATAGCGTTTTGATAGATTTTATGTTATTTTATTATATTATATTATTTACAATAAAAGTGCCGAAATTGGGCTCCTTAGTATATGTTTAAATACAGTTTGTTACATACTCAAAACCACTAACCTCGTTTCATTAACGCGCTGGCGTGAGGATTCGAGCTCCTCAGTATCAAACTTGAGCAATTCCACCGGTGCCACCGGAACTGGTGCTGACACTCTTTCACGGCCAACTGCAGGCCCTCGAAAGCAACAGAAGCCGTGTCAGGGGCCTCATGACATATCGAGCGTTGTTCTCTCGTCAGACCACGTACTATTCGGCAAGTGAGAGCAGAATTCAGTCGGATTGTGTTGTCTTTGGAGCTGGAAGGTATTGTTTATGTTTAAATTTCATAGATATATCGTCATGATCGTAGAATAATGTCGGATTTGAAAAAAATCCATTTCCTTTTTATCAAATTTGGATACTACACTGACTAAATATTACGGTTACATTAAAAAAAATCCATGTGTTTTAAATTTCAAATTAATCAGTCGGTAAAGTGACGGATTTGTTAGGTACGCTCATAGAAGCATGTGATTTTCTAATATATTCTAGAAACCTGTGTAATTTAATGTTATTATTTTTATTTTGTTTCAAAACGAACCCTTTTGTTTGCTTGTATGCCAATTTTTATAATAACAGAATATGAATTAAAATAATTATGACAAAAAAACTAACGTGATTATTTGAAATGGCTGCCGTGTAAAGTTTACTATTTGTCAGAACTCAGATCCGTCACTATTCTACGACTATGACGATATATATTTGTCGTCAATAGTGAGTTCATTTCATAAATAATATTAATTGGTAGGTTACATATACATCGTGAGGAAACGGACCAATTGATGAAAAAGTATCAAAGATATTTATTTCCTTTATCCTAAAAATAAACAATAATTCAGCAGCGCTACAATCTTTGGCTTCAGATGTATCTAGGAAATTGTTAAAACAAAAAATAAAATAAAATATGTTTATTATGGAACATAAGATACATGTATCACTTATTCCACGTCATTAAATTTGAATTTGTAGGCATCCCTACTATCGGAAAGAAGAAAGAGGGTTAGGGAGAGAAAAAGCCGGCGTAAAAACCCTCGGTACTTTTTAAAATAGCAAATATAAACAACACTTATTTTAAAACAAATATCGCAAATTAATTAAAAGTAGCCTGTCTTCTGATTGCACGAATAGCCCTCTTCTGCAGGATGAAATTCGGCTGGGATTGAAATCTAAAACCTGAGACAAGGGCTAGAACTGCTTTAAACTAATATTCGAAACTCCAAGCGGGTGGTCGTACAAGTTGAACTTTGATCAAAACTATTTCCATACATTGAATTCCCATCCTTACACAATATTAATTAGCATCTTGAGCCACAACTCACATACTTCAGAAATTTCGAGACCGGGAGCCCAACAAATTGTTCCATTAATGTTCGCTCGTGCGATACCATCTGTTTAGAATAAATTAATTATAATGATGTTATTTTTAATACCAATTAACGCTTTTATTATTAATTTTTAAAACAAATTAAATTCATCACATTTTAATTCACAATATTTTTAATAGCGCCTTTTTGCAAGGTAAACTAATTCTTTTATTATTTCCGGGACAGATAGGCACGTCAATCAGATGGCGTTACATTTACGTGATTCAACACTTGCTCACATAATGCCTTAGATTCTATCTGATACGTGATTTTGGGACCTTAACTTTACTATTGCTTTGACAAGCTTTTTACATAACTAAAAGTTTCGACGTGGCAAAGTGTTTTGCGATTGTTCAAATTTCGAATTTATCTTTGTTAGTTCACCGGAAACACTTGTCATATTAAATTATTCAAATACCAGAATACCTAATTCAAAAACTGAAGTTGAACTGAATAATTAAGTTAAACAAAATTGTGACCTGTGTGTCAACTGTTTGTTCATAGGTACTTATATGTGTTCTGTGTACATTTCTAGTTCACTTCTATGAATGAGAACAGGCCTTATCAGGCGTCTATTTGAAAACCATATACCGTAGTAAGAATATGGTTCTGTATATTGAAAAAAAAAAGTTACACGAGGTTTAGAGGGAAAGAGAGAAAATTCCTTCATTTTCAATCTAGAATATTTGAAATCCGAGATACTTTTACTCAACTTAGAACATTATTTTCCTCCACAACGTTTTATCCGTTTACGACACTACACCCAGTGAAATAAAAAAAATCAGCTAATAGGCAAGTGGGTGATCAGCCTCCTGTGCCTGACACACGCCGTCGACTTTTTTGGTCTAAAGCAAAACGGTTTCCTCGCGATGTTTCCTTCACCTTTCGGGCCAATATTTTATTCGCATATAGAAAGAAAGTCAATTGTTGCACAGCCGGGATCGAACCTACGACCTCGGGGATGACAGTCGCACGCTGAAGCCACTAGCCACCGGTATACTTTAATAAAACATCTGTGTCAAAATAATATAGTTTTAACATTATTCTATTAGTATATTATATACTGTTGTACATCTATATAAGTATATAAATAAGCTCGAAGACGGCTGCACCAATTCGAGTATTTTTTTTATTTATACCTTAAACACTGAGAAAGGTTTTATCGAAAGAAAAGTTGGAAAAATTGCACGCTCAAAACTTTTATTCCGGAAAAGTCTCTATGGGGCAGCATATTTATGAAAGATTTTGCTTCAATTGACGGCTATTGGTAAGTAGCTACTAAATTTAACTACCTACTTAAAAATGTCATGTGTAATTTAGTGTAATGGTTGCAGCTCCTTGCAAACATTTTGTAAAACAAAAAACTTGGCGATTAAAAAGAGTGGCGGAGAGTTTATTGCCAGTTCTTCTCGTCCGTTCTACGCCCTTGATTTGAGAACTGGTAGTCAATGTGTATAAACTACAAGCAGTTAATATGTATTTCTTTATTGACGTTCATAAGTGAACATTTTGTTACCTAAATGAATAAATGATTTTGAATTTGGAATTTGAAGAGGTAGGTGGAGTAAAAAATAAAATTAAGGCGTAATGAAGTTCGTGGGGGTAGCTGGAGAATAATAACACAATTAGTGATCATTAAACAACAATAATGATAAAACATTACATAAAGACCATCTACGTAAAGACTCATTAGTCTAATAAATTTCAAAATTTTAAAAAAGGAACGCCAAAAAGTAATCGTTACAAAAGTTAAACACTGTTTTCCGTCTTTGCATAACTGTTTATGTTATCTTGTGTCTTCCCACGGAGCGGGAATGCGGCCGTATCATTAAGGGATGCTCGGAAAACGCTTATACACTTAATGAAACGCAATCATTATAATCGTTATAATTTTTTGCATTTTTCTATTAATGATAAGTTCATAACTTTTTATGAAGAAAGAGAAATGTATATGGTTAAAAATATTAAAATGTAGCGGATCACCTACCTGCGATTTAGAATGAGAGCGTGTACCACATAGTACATAGTTTCTACGTAGATGTGATACAAAAATTAACATATAAAATTGATCGATATATCTGGAAATTCCCGGATGATTTTAAATCATCTTTACTAATAGCTTTTACGTAGATTTAGATTTTACACCTTTTTGTTCACTGTAATGGAATAAATTCCTATTCGTCCGATAAATAAAAATGTACTGCCTTATATCTTCAATCATATCTTAAAATATTTCCAAAAAAATAGTGTCACGTGAATTCCGCTTCTTATGAAAGGTGTTTACGCCTTTCAATTTGCCTCAAAAGGCGGTGAACGGAGATATTTAAAAAAAATTCTTCACGATTTATCCAAGTATTTATAACCATAATAACACAGAGTTATCATCAACCCACAATTATTGGATGTAACCAACAGCTTTTTAGAGTCGTTTAACTCAGTGATCCAATTAAAAATCCGCGCTCAGCTTAATATAATTGCATCGAAAATTCCTCGGGGACGAGATAAAAACAATAATTTCGTGCTTTAAACGAACGCCAGTAAAAAATAATAAATCTGAGTCGGACTGATGAAACGTCTAGATACTCATTCAGAGAGGTTATTTCAATACAAATTACAGCTACTTGCCTTGCCTCTCTCTGCATACCGACAATTGTGCACATACTTTTCCCAACCCCCACACCACAGTAGCAACCTAAATCGAAACACGACTACAACAAATTACACTTTAATTCTATACATTAAAGGCGTAAATCGCATATCAGAGTTGTGCGCTTTCAGCGTTTCGTATAGAGCCTTAAATGCACTGATTGAAATTCCGTGTACCAACAATGTGTAGGATGGGTTGAAGCCTATTTGTAGCTTTATAATCTACAATGGATAAACGTGATTTGTTGGCGTAACCTTTAAGTACCAATATAGGCAATTAGTACCACCGATAAGGGATTCTTAACGTGCAGAACAGAGTCATTTAAGTATTGAAATCGATCGCAGTGGAATTATTTCTTCTGATAAGTATGTATGGTCCATTTTTATCTTTTGCGTTGAATTTATTGGCTGCTTTGTTCGGAGCTATTAAGTGAAAAAGCACTTGTGTTAGATATATTCATTATCGCTTTAAATTCTCGTGCGTCATTATTGTTTTGTGTTAAAGTTAATTTTATATTGCACAATTTAAAAGAATTAGACTTAATTTCGTCTTGGTAACGCTATACAGTATTAGTGATTCACCAATAAGTAAAGAAGTAATAAAAATAGGTATAAAAATATAACTCGATCAACTTGATTGTATTTAAAGAAATCTACAGTATTTCAAAGAAATAAAAAGAAAATTAAATGTCAATGTCAACTTTAAGTTGCTGTCACCACATTTTCAGTGGGTCCATACTATATATTTAAAATACTTTAGGTTTTCATGTATTAGAGAAAATTGATTTATTTTATTGATTTTTGTAAGAAATCGTTTAAGCAAATTTCATATTTTTTTAAGGTTAGCGATGGAAATGTTCGTTGTTCGAAATATTTATCTTATTTCGTACGTATAAGGTATTTTATTTCCGTCTAACTGGCGCATGGTTTTGCATGACTCCTATTATTGAACAATAATTTATATTTGTCGTGACAACTTCATAAATTGCGCGAACCGCTTAAAGCTAATCGGCGTTGAGTATCAATCACATAGTTAAGTGGTCAATTATGCAGTCAATATTAATGTATTTTACGACCACGTGCAGTGGCATATTCATTGCAATTTACATACTAAACCCCCGGCCTATGGGTGGCCTGATACCTGATCGTCACCTTTTAAATTTGCATGCATTACTGTATTCATTAAACGGTCGTTGTCTACTTACAATTTGCATGATTAGTGCTCTGTTTTGTGTCGCGCACTGACGCCCCATGCATTATACCACTGATTAGTTGGAGTACGCTAATACAAGCCAAATTACCAAGCTCTACGAACTATAATTGCGTCAAAGAGTACAATTTAAATCGCGATAACTCACCTCGCCATATTCAGGGGGACGAATAAGAAAATTATTATCGTTGGAAATGTCCAGGTCATTCTGCGGTTGTCCCCGGAACTCATGTTGGCAACACTACATCCTTGTATTGTTTCATTTTCCGTCACTAAGTTCGTACACTGTTGTAACTCGGGTATCGTGATTCGAAATTCAAATTGTTTGGGACAGAGGTCACGGGCACGATTAATTCGCCACAATTGATTAGAATCAAGCGTTTGTTTACGCCGTCGGCACGATGCCGTCGGGTTGTCTATGGCGTCTTTGGATGCGTTCGAACGCGTGGGACGAAAGGCGTGCTCTCCGCGCCGCCCAGACGACGGGAAAAAGATTAGGGGCGTACGGGCAGCGGCTCCACCTACTCGTTGATTATCCTTGTTTACGCAATTATTTGGATATTTCGGCACTAAACTGTTGACGTTGTAAGGTAAAGTCGTGTGTTCACGAAGCGGCCGCGATTGACAGTGGCACCCTGGATGGGATCCCCGCATATTAAATGCCGCCCCACGCTTTTACCAGGGTTTTAATTCCCTGTCGTAAGTCTAAAGAGCGATTTTATAGTGTGACATTGATGTTGGTTATAGTAGATAATTTACGGGTAATGCTTTAACAATTAATCAAGAGTTCTTTTTTTTTTAAATTGAAGAAATAATAAGAAAATATTACAAAGACGTAAGTCAATAAAAGCTGTTTTTACACAGTCCAATCATTAATTTAAGCACAGGAATTATCCTTGTTTACGTTTTTTTTAATATTTCGGTTCTAAACTGTATATTTTTTATCCAAATACGAAACATGAGAATAATTTTAATCAAATACTTAAAATCTCTATCAATAAACACGTACCTATTTATAATTTACTACCAAAGAACCATAACTACCAAAATCTCTGGCTTCATTATTATTATATCTATTAATTAAATGTTATTATTATCTTTTATAGAACTGAACATGTCAACTGCCCTATCACAATTGGGACATCTTTATAAACATTGATATATCAATCGCAAGGGTTGTGTGAACTACCCTTAGTTAGGGGTCTGAACCCTTTTGTTAGGGCATGTCGCGTGCCCAAAAACATCATTGAACATGTATAATTTACATAAATGATATTAAGGACGCAAATCTAAAAGCTTTACATATTAGATAATTTTTTGTAAGAATAACTTATTAACAGCTATGTCCTATCAAGTGCTTAGCAGGGTTGATAGTGTTCTTGTTTCTCTGCGTCTGTAGGAATTCTACCCACCACCCAGAATTAGGAATAATAATAAAATATTTTAAATAGACTATTGAAATTACATTACAACTCAAAGTTTTGAGTGCTTTTCAATAGACTTTCTCAATAAGGAAATAGCAGATAAACATAGTATCATCATCGTATAAAATCAGTGGTTAGAAAATTAAGGTTTGCCTGTTTTATTTATTTAAGAAAAAAAAGACAAAAGTATAATATGACGGAGGAACAATTGGTCAGAATTTTTTCCGTCCACCGAAGCGTTGACATTCATTACAATAATAACCTACACTATTTTTCTATACATAAATATTACGCAGTTTGTGTGTATATGTCGCGGGAATATTTTTCTTTTACTTACGTCCAAATGATTGGCTTAGTTACATCAGCATTATGCGGAGTCAGGTCGCTTTGATGTCTGAGCCACGCGTCAGCTCTTCACTGGAGAGTTCTCCATCTGTGAATTAGTTTAACAAATAAACATTGTTTCTTTTATCTTTATAATGGGCCAATTATTCTATGGTATGTTAAGTTTAATTTATTTGTACCAACTTGATTTTGTAATCTGTTTAATAACTTTTTGATTTTAAATCGCATTTTGATTGCAAATGTTTAGTAAAGTGTAACTTTAGAAAACTTACAATTATGATAGCAGTTTTTCTGTAGAATTTAGGGCAAACGGGTAGGTGCGCTCGAAAGTGCGTTGCCTGCCTTTTAAGAATCGGAACACTCATTCGGCCATTATTCGCTTCTAATCACTTTCAAATCTAAAGTCCTATTTAGATATTAGAAAATGGTGTTTTGTATGGTATTTGCAATTATTCAAATTTATCAAATTAGCAAAATATTTATGACTAATAAACGAAGCTTTAAAATATATTTTAGTATCAATCTTAAGGCTATGAAAGAACTTTCCCGACTTTTCATAAAGATTTCGAAACATGTACCAAAAAACGTTACTAACACAATCGCTAATACGTATCCGAAAAGCTGTCTACCGGTAATAGCAGTTTTTCATCATAAATTATACACACCTATAAAATACTTGGCCAGTATCGCCACCTGGCACTATTTACTATGGCTCGAGGCACAAAACGGAAACTCATAATACTAACTGTTCCTACAACGGTTTGACACCCTCAGGGCACAACTTAACATTCGAATTAAGCATATACCGTGTGAGAACAAATAATATAAAATTTAAGAGAATACACTGAGATTACATTCTTGCGGTTGGCAATTTTGTTGGCGTTTCCCCACTGCATTCACAGAGTAATTGATAATAACAGAAAATGATCCGTGTCAGCTGCCAGCGGCCTGTGTTGCTAGCATTGTTCGATGTTTTGTATGGAAAGTGTTGGTGGTCTGTTTTTATTCATTTTCTACTTTCAGTATATATTCCGATGTCTGAGTTAGAGGTAAAGGTTTGCTTACAGTTCATCATTTTAGCCTCCTCAAGTATATTTCGCTATCGCAATCTATTTCGTGCTTCTTGTGTCCAATTTTGATCGTCTATTGTTTCGAGGTCCTTGACAACTTCATCCCACCAACGCAGCCTGGGTATACCGGGTTTTCTCTTGCCACACACCTGAGTTCAGTAGGTTCAGGGGTTCTGTCGTCCGCTATTCGGTGCACACGTCCCATGTTTCTTTACAGTTAGTTTCCATAAAATAACGTCTAAAGTCTTTTATTTCTAAAAAAATCTGCTATTTTTATTAATAAAGATATCATAACCTTAAATTGTATCCTTAAGTAGTTTAAGGCAGTTCATTGCTTCAATTATTGCCAGATGTGTAATTATTTAAACAAATATATCCTTACTTTCATTTCGAATATCACAAATCCCTCAGTGTACAAAATCTCACATTCATAAACATCAAAATAAAACATTCAAAGCATAAAACTTTATGCTCCCACGCAATAAACTCAAGGGAGAAGGATTTCTATGGCTTCATGTGTGATTAGCATGATACCATCCATATTTGTGTAAGTGTTAAATGACAATCTCAATAGAATTTATACCGAAGTAAATTTATGCTTATCGTTCTTATCTGGTGTTAATGAAAGATGTATAAGATTGAACAAAGTGGAATTGTGGGTGGCGGTAACGTAGGTATGATGATTGCGTTGCAATAAAATTTATATGTATGTTCCAGTGTAATAGAATAAAATTTTATCGACTTGTAACTTGGTAAGACTGGTCACTACATCAATCAAAAGGCTAAAAAATGTCTTTAACTATTTTTCCTTAAGCTTTTCGTTTAGTAATCGGACATTAACTGTCGTAGTTTGTACCATTCTGATAAACAATAAACTACAAGCTTCCACCTTTTCAGAACGCCAAATCATAAAATCACGACTGATTTGAGAGCGTCTGCCGATGCGAAAACCGCCGTGTGAGTTCGAAAAGTGAGTTACAGAATCGCAGGGCTGCTCAAAATGATACAAAGTATCGCCAGTTCCCATATGGTTATGGTGTTCTCATGAACACAGAATTCTCATACGGCCGCGCTAATTATACAAAAGATTGTTGAGATGACGTCGTACACAAACGCAATTAGAAAACTTTAGGGGCCCATATAAAAGGGTCATAAATCAGCGAAGGGTCGAATGCGATATCTTAGCGTTAGCGCTCTCACTGCGTTAAACACGCGGCTGTTTCGAGCCGTTCGTGTCAGAACATTCAATGGGATTAGGGATATGCATTCTTGAGTATGAATTTACAGGTAGCCAAAATAGAGACGAGTTAACCGAATTTAAAAATCAGTATCCTAAATAAAAAAAAATTGTGCAGATTTCGTAGCGAATATTATATTGAATTTATAGTAGTTTTTAAGTAACTCGATGTTTCGAGTGCTTATCAGTTGCCGTGGCCAGCGATAGACGATACAATGTACTGATATTTTTCTAACCACAGATAAACATTTGAGTTGGTATTTAGTATCACACAATCAAGTCTTAAGTAGTAACAAAACTGAAAACTTCAAGAATTTTTTTTGAAAGATTTGAGATGTGATTTATATTACTATCTTTTAGATTACAGGCTTAAAATTTGCTTCTTGTTAAAGTCAGAGGATCAATCTTAATGAGGACATAACATATTTTAACTGACGTTCCTAACTTTCAGTGAACGTCGACCCGAAGACGCATTATAATACAGTGTGGCTAATAGTGTCCGTACCTTAGCTTAGCTCAGTCGGGATCTCGTTAGCAAGTGTATGCGACATTTCACATCGACTAATTGCGAGCATTTACCCATCTTGATAAACTGCATTCAGTTTGTATGGGCAGATCATAAATTTGCTGTGTTTTACACTATATGAAAGAAACAAATTAAATCCCGAATCGTTTTTAGTGTACAAATAATTAACCCAACTGTTTACTTAAATTGCTGTAATAGCACCTCTATGGCTCTCTTGCGGAAGAATCAATCTAGCGTATCTTGAAAGGTGAGGGTGTACGTAACATTCTTGAAGGCATGTCCAAGAACTGGCTAATTTTAGATAGCAAATACGTTAGAAAATTTACACAATGATTCTTCACCGGAAATCGAACGCTATGGCACCTAAATAGTTTTAAAGGCTATCATTGTACTACGAAAAGTTAGTCCGTGGTAATAGTACCATGTCACTCGAATCCATGGATGGAAAAAGTGTCTTTAGCAATTATAAAGATATTATAAATCTTGTAACCAATCAACATAAATAAAACAGTTTGTAAAGTAAATTGAACTAATTTTGTACAAATTAAGGTTTTATTAATTGCAATTAGAATTGTATCGGATTATTATAACCGATGTATCAACACATTTTGGGTATGTATGTCCTATTA